TCTGACTGATCATTGTTGGAGGCAGTGGTTCTGATGCTGAGTAGAAAACTTGGGCCATATATTAGCTTATGATTACCAATTAACCTCTACCCAGAAAGTGAACAATTAAATATATTCCTGCAGGATGTGCTTTGAAGGGAGATTTAAAAGATCAAGTTTACAAACGTTGTCTTTTTGCACAATTCCTTTGATTCCTCTTTTATTTCTTTTTCCATATCTGATCTGACAATGAATTCATTCACCCTCTTCATTCCTTCCTGTTTATTTCTCATTGATTAATGAGGTACACTGTTCCTTTGTTTATCAAGGTTCCAGATGCTATCACTTTGCTGCTGTCGGTACTTTGTGGGTGATTTTTTTTAAACAAAACCTCAATATGCAAGAATGAGACTATTGGGCATGCTGTCAGCCGACTTACCCCCAGCAAAATATGCATCAATACATTATATTACTTTTATTTTGAAATGGACAGTGAGCTGCATATATTAGTCATATCTGTGGAATAAAACTAGTTTCAACCTGGCAGTCATCAGATCCTGCTTATACCACACATACAATTTATTTCCCTTCATCGCAGAAACAATTTTCATTTGTTGCTGCTATTTGAAAATAGAGTTTAGACTTCATTGGAGCTGAGCTGGGCTGCTGCACAAACCTTGGCACAGGCTGATACTTGGTCAAGTACTTTCGGCTCATGCAAACTCCCGTGCAAGTCATCCTGCCGATGCTAAGAGAACAGATGTAACTCAGCACCACCCACCCATTATTCTATATATAATGCAGGGTTATTTATCCATTGCACATTCCCCCAGTGCATTATTCAAGTACCAACCATCTATTATGCTATACCTTAAAGCCAGAGTTACCCAACAATTATCCTACAATGTAACTGACTGCCATAAAACTATTATGCACTGGCTGCACAAAACATAGGTAATTCTGTACATGTGTGTCCCATGAACCACATAATATAGGAAAAGTATTATCTTCTAAACAATTTACTACGGTATGATAAAAATGTAACGGTCATAGCAGTTTGAATATATTTAGAATTCTGAACACCACACTGATACTTTCAGGCAATGAAAGGCAAGTCAGTTGCTTCTATGCTCACCAAAATTATGAAACAAAATTTGTTTCCAAGTTAGTATATCAATAGATCTCTTTACTCAAGCACACTTCATTCTGAATCATACTTTTTTCTTCTCTATTCTTTCACAATACGTGGGCATTTCTGGTCAGCATTTGCTGCCCATTCCTTATCCCAATTGAACTGAGTGGCTCACAAGGCAATTTCGGAGGGCAATTAAGAGTCAACTACATTACTTTGAGTCTTGTGTCTCATGTAGACTCAACCAGGTAAGTATGGCAGATTTCCTTTCTTAAAGGACACGTGTGAACTGTATGATTATACTAAATGGCAGAAAAAAAATGATTACTTCAAATATAAATGCTGGTTTGCTCAAATATCTCACTGCCTAAATATTAATCTAAGTATAAATTCCTTCCAATGGAGAGTTAAGGAAAGCTAACAATCAGCATGAGCAACCATCACAAAATAAACAAATCCGGTTGGTCATTTTATTCCCCCAGTGCCAACAAATCAACAAAACCAACAATCAAAATCCTTCAAAATACTTGCTGTATGCCCACAGGACATTTGTGAGTTTAGCATCTTATGAAAAACAGTAAAGCTCCAGAGAATATCGGCCTAAACTGCTCAATCTCTCTTCATTAGACAAGCCCCTTATCTCTGAAATCAATCTAGTGAATCTCCTCTGAACTGCCTCCAATGCAATTACATCTCTACTCAAACAAGGGGACCAGAAATGTACACAATACTCCAGGTGTGGCCTCATTAATGCCTTATACTGTTACAAAAACACTTCCCTTCTTTTATACACTATTTCTTGTACCTTTCCATGATTCGTGCATGAGGATACCGAGATCCCTTTGCACCAAAGTACTCTGAAGTTTCTCTCCATTTGGGTAATAAGTTTAATTTCTATTCTTCCAAGCAAAATGAATAACCTCACATATATCCATGTTAAACTCCATCTGCCTAATTTTGGCCTATATCTGCCATATTTTGGCCCATTTGACTCTAGCAAAACTGGAGGCAATGGGAATTAGGGGAAACCACCTGCTGGTTAGAGTCATACCTGAAACAAAGTAAGATGGTTATGGTTATTAGAGGTCAGTCTTCCCTGCGGGAGTTCCTCAAGAAAGTGCGCTTAGCTCAACCATCTTCAGCTGCATCATCAATGATTTTCTTTCTATCATAAGGGCAGAAGTGGGGACATTCATAGACGGCTGCACAATATCCATCACCATTCAGACTCATCAGATGCTGAAACAGTCCATGTCCAAACGCAACAAGATCTGGACAACAGCCAGGCTTGGACTGACAAATGGCAAGTTATATCCACACCACAGAAATGCCAGATCATGACCATCTGTACAAGTGAGAATCTAACCATTGCCACTTGACATTCAATTACATCGCTATCACTGATTTCCCCCATTATCAATATTCTGGGCATTACCACTGACCAGAAATTGAACTTGACTATTTGTATATGTACTGTGGTGACAATAATGTGTCAAAGGCTTGGAATCTTGCAGCAAGTAACTCAACTAACTCCCCAAAGCCTGTTGACAAGCCAAGAGTGTGATGGAATACCCTCCACTTGCCTGGATGAGTGCAGCTCCAACAATGCTTAAGAAGCTTTACATCATCCAAACAAAGCAGCCCACTTGACTGGCATATCCACTTACTCTACCATCGATACTCAGTAGCAGTAGTGTGCACCATCTATAAGGTACACTGTATAAATTCACCATGACTTCATAGATGCACCTTCTAAACACATAACCACTATCATAAAAAGGACAAGGACTGCAGATAATAGGAGCACTACCACTTGCCAGATCCAAGTCACTCACCATCCAGACTTGGAAATATATTGCCATTCCTTCAGTGTTGCTGACTCAAAATCCTTGAACTCCCTCACTAAATGTGTACCTCTACCAAGTGAACTGCAGCAGTTCAAAAGGCAGCTCATCACCACCTTCTCAAAGGTAACTAACAATGGGCAAGGGATTGCTGGCCCAAACAACAACACCCATAGTCCTTGAGTGAATTAAAAAGAAATAATAACCCAGATTAAAATAAATCCCATCTGGAATCAGGCAATCTACTTCAGGAACGATATCGTGTCCTTTGCTGAGAGTGATACAAATCTATCAGAATAATAACAAGACTTAAAGGGCTAAATTAGCAGGCTAGGTTTCATAAATATGGCTTTTGTCCTCTTCAGATTTAAACTAAGGCACTGTATTTCAAATAACAAAAAGGATTCAACAGGCTCATACACAGCAAGAGGAACAATTTTAAAAATAAGAGCTAGGGCATTGAAAAGTGAAATAAAGGAGAGCTATTTCTGTGTAAAAGTAGTGGAAATCCAGAAACCATTCCCCCAAAGCCTTTGAATGCTCAGTTAAACTTTCCAGATTCGACCTGAAGTTTACGACGTAAAGATATCAAGAGTTAAGAAGTAAACTAGGGTTGAGATAACGCATCATGATCTGAGTGCCAAAACAGTTTCAAGGATGTGAATGGCCTTATCCTGTTCCTATCTATGAAGATCCCTTTCCACGATGTCTTTCATAACCCCAATTTTCCAACTCATCCTCCCCCCCACTACATTCCTCCATTTTCCTACTCTGCCTCTGCACCACTCCTTGACATATTTCTTTCTTGATCTAATGGAAGTATGGTGCATTTGGAAATTAGATTACCTTCACTATATACCCTAACAGGCAATAAATCACAATGTCAAAATGGCTTCCTTTGAAAAAAAGCAGTTTGAGATACAAACTGCACAGGTACGCCTGTTATCATTTATTGAATGATCTTATTTGGGCAGAAGGCAGGCAGTTTAATGTTTAATACTCAGTAGCATACATTCAAGATGATCCATTAAACCAGATTTCAGGTGCAGCAGAACAGGAGTCAATAGTATGCAAACACAGTAAAAAAGAATTGCATTGGAATTCCCTGAAGACTTTGCTCATTAAAACAAAACTCTATAGATTGCCTACTTTGGGCACAGAAGAACTTAAAAATAACTTATGTTGAAAGATAACAGTTGGACAAAAAATCAGTCTTTTCTGCAAATCTCAAGATTAACATTTGTTTCAACCGTTCTATTCTGGATACACTGACATTTATTATCTATGTGTTCTTCCTACAATAACCTGGGAACTTCCTTCCAAAATTAGCCATTTGCTTCCTTCTTGGCAAGTGAAGTTGGAAGCTGAAAGTTAGACTTTGCGATACATAAACATATAGACATTATTTCGACATTGTCGTAATAACTTACTTTCGGCACATCAATAGTCACCTCCCTCATAGCACTAGGCCTGACATCATTCATCGCTTGCAGGAAGTCATTAAAGGTTATCTTCACTGATTCAGCTACCTCACTATCTGAGGGGTTGGCACATTCTCCAAGTGCCCGATGCAAAGCGTGCAGACCTGGCAGAATGAAAAACATTTTTACAGGTCACCCACTTTGCTTATTTTTCTTAACAAATGAGTTTTAAAATAATTATACATCATTAATTACAATATATTTCAAATTTTGCAAAATATTTCTATTAGAACCACATAACGAATATCACTGATGTCTATTTCAACCTATTGACAAGTGTATTATGTTCTTTGCAAACATGTGAAGTAATTACAGAATAACGTATCAAGTCAGTGTACATCAACAGTTTATTCAAATAGCATGTTCATCAATGCATGACTTCCAAAAGTATCGTGTATATCAGTGTTTCAAACTGAAAATATCAGTCCTATCTGCTTTTAAGCAGTGCAGTTAAGTGGACAGTTGGCATTTCCCTTTGGTAAGCAAGTAATGGACAGCTCAGTAGCACAGCACATTAGTCACAAATTTCTGTGATTTTAGCTCAAATAAAACCAGATTGATAACAAGAACATCTCCTTTGTCTGATTATAAGGATCTAATGTGCATTGAGCTTAGGCAGTCTTAATCCAGTTCCTCGCATGCATGGACCCAGCACAAAACTGTCACTGACTGGAAATATAAATCACACAGTGGGGCAAAGTAAAACATGCCATACTATTGGGGTGATTTTCTAAGGCTAGGCCTCTGATATAGCTAGGGAAAAGGGAGCTGTGCTCTCTATTTGACAATAACAGATTTGAGTGCACTTGGAACCTGAAATCTGAAGAGTTCCATTTCCTAGCGCAATTATTACTGACATTGATAAATACATTTAAACAAAAATAAGAGTGACAGGAATTCATCATAGGTCACCCATATGTAGCTCTTAGTATACAAAGCTACAGCTACATATACAAAGAATGACTCTTTCCGCTATGACAGATGGATGGTTCCTAAAAATTCCTTTTATGTTATTCTTCATTACTTCTCTTCCGAAGAGGAAGGTCTATAATGGGATATGGTAACATAGTTGTAAGCATAATACTGGTATAGATGGTGTTCATTGTAGATTGGCAGAGCAAAAGGAGGCATATTTTCTCATTCAACTCCACATACTTTGGTAAAACAGATTTTGAAATCTCTAACCAGAGGAAAGAACTTTTACTCTTCTGAGAGTATAAGAATTAAAATCCTTTTAATAAAACTTATGTTACATAGTGTGCCAGAGGTTTGATCAAATGGCATGTTATATACAAACCTAATCCCTACCTTCTTGATTCCTATGTTCCCTCTCTAACTGCAGTCGCCTAAACAATGTTTACTCCCAGTGCCCCACCACTTCAGCCCAGCTGTAGAGAGGCCAACCGTAATTCCCCAACACTCCTCAAGCTGTGATCAGTCTGACACAACAATGATCACTGACTATCATTCAAAGTAAGTGTATATTTATATATTAGTTGTTCATTATTATTGTAAAAATCTTAATAGCATTTTTTTTAACAGCAGTCAACAGCTTCTGTGGAAATTATATGTTGGAAAATCTTGGAAGCGCAATGATGATTGGTCAACAAATGCTGCTATAAGAAAAGATACCCAATAAACTGTGAATTACCGTGGGTTACTGGATGACTTAGCCACCGTTAGACTCATGAAAATGACAGCTTTCCCTTCACCTCCCAACCTTTTGTAATCTTACTGCATTCGCACATTACACTTGTCACAATAAGTTAAGTTCCAGTAACCGAGTAGATGGGTTAGTTGGAACGCTGTGTGCTCCCTCTGACATATTGACTTTGCTTGTGAGTGTCCTTGACAACGCTTCTCAATGTGCGCAGTGCCTTCCCAAATGAGACTTCACCATTTTTGGCAGTTACAAGCGAAGGTCTCCTATGTGTCGACAGATTTGTTTGGCCTCTTCAGGGATGTTTTGAGGACACCCTTAAAAAATGCTTCCTCCTGGGTGTATCCTGCTACAACTAAGTTGTCAGTAAAGTAGATGCTTCAGGAATCTAATGTCAGGCATACAAATGGTACATCCCACCTGGCAGAGCTGGTTTTGAATGAGCAGTGCTTTGATGCTAGCCAAATAGGGTTGGAGAGGGTACTGCTGTTGGGCCACTGGTTTTGTCACAAATTTGCGGGATCTTGGGAACACATGTAAACTGGTGACACTTCTTTAGTGTTCTGAAGTGTAGGACATCCAGATCTCTGGAGGATAAAAGAATACTAGAATCACTGCCACCTAGTAAACTATGGCCTTAGACTCTGATTTGAGATCTTTGTTCTAAAATACTCACTTCCTAATATATTGCCCAATCCTCACCATCATTTTAGTCTTGTCCATCAATATTTATTGCAAAATGGAATTTTATTTTTACCACTTAAATGAATTGTTGGATGTTCTGCTTCCATAAAAGAGAAAAATAATAAACAAAGATGTTGGTAAGAATTTACCTGAATAAATCAATCATCGATAAAAAGTGGTAATATTTCACCCATTTTTCTATTTAACGGTGTAAACTGTAATCCTTAAGTTATTTACAACTTTAAAGCATTTTTCATATTAATATGTCCTTCCCTGCTGCTGATTAAATGTTACAGGCTGCATTTTGGGCAAATATTAGCCAAGCCTGATCTTGCCCATAGCTAAGAGTGACACAGGGTTTGGTGGGAATAAGGGACAACAAATCAGAAGTGGAAACCTTGCCTGATTTTTCCCCATTCTAAAGCCAAGGACGGAAGTTCATTTGTTGCACTATCCAAAGATATATGACGGCAAGAACCTTGCCTTGTACCACCGGCTCTATATGGCCCAATTACATACTATTCAATAACTGAGACAGCTAGCAATAACAATAACATTTACACTGAGATTTTCAAACAGTATTGAGAAAGAAATCACTTGTTTTTCACAATTTTTTTCTGGGAAACATTCTACAGGTTTGAACTCGGCTTATCAGACCATCACCTATCTAATATCTATAGGGTCATCAAAGTTCAATCTTTGGTGCCTGTTTTTCCCCTTAACAGAAACTAAAAATATTGAAACTAAAAAGATGTGTCGTTCACTTTCAGTAACAAATAAATACGTTACCCACACAACTGCAGTACAGTTATGCTAATAGAATGACATTGATATTTTTCCTTTTCCATTCAAAGATATGAGATAGTAAAAAATTTTTTACTATATTTCCTACAAAGAATCTTGCCCAGTAATAGACCAGCATCCAAAATAATATATTCAAAATGAAGATCCCTTTATGCTGCTCAAGGGAATAAAGACAACCCCATACTGCATTAGTGCAATATTTTCCTGTTGAAAGATGATCGACCTGAAACATTGGATGATTTTCCTGACCCCAGTGGGTGACATGCGGGCAAGGAAGGTGTGACTGTGTGAAAGAGTGCCTGTGTCTGTCTGTGTCTCCATGTGGCCCTGTGCGAGCATCTGTGTGCAGGCGTGTGTGTGTGATTGAGTGAGTGAAGATTAAAGATTGCTTCCTTTTGTATTTCAACTAGCAGAGAAATGTTCTAGGGTGAACTGTAAAGTGAATTGATTTGTGGACAACCACAGAGTGGGCAAGCCAAGTAACATTAAGGCCCCAGCAAGGTGAGATTTTGTGGCTCTTAGCCCAAAGGCACCTGGCCATAAGAGTGCTCATGTCTTTCAATGGGGCGGTCAATTCTCTAGAATTGCTGCACCTTTGATTGGGCTGGCAGCATTAGCAACCTGCAGGATTTCCTCAAAAGAAAGATGAACACAGGTAGCCAAATAGGAGGCCACTCCCAGATGACTGTGCTACTGGCAGTGCTGGCTCAGAACCCTCCAAATGACATTAGGTTCCCAAAATCCACTGAAAATGCTGCCGATGAACTGGTTTTTTCTTTCTACAGATGCTGTCAGATTTGCTGAGCATTTCCAATATTTCCCATTTTTATTGCAGATTTCCCACATCCACAGTATTTTGCTTTTGTGTTGATTACATTTTGTAAATGTTTCTCATGGACCATCCTATAGTAAGTAAGGTTATCAATTACTGCTTGCTTATGATTTTTGACAGAGTGATTCCTTAGCATTTAGAGACATGTGAACAGCAGTAAACAACATCCCAATCTGATTCTATATGGAATTTACTCGACAGCACATTACATCTATTCCTCCTCTTCACTTCCTGTACACTGATTCATGCAACAGCTTTGATTTCCAAACTCTCCAACAACTCAGACACTTGGTATTGTTCAAGGATAATTTGAGACAGTGAGTGCTGTCTGGCTAAACAACAATTTTCACCCAACATCTACACCCACATGATCTGTACAGACTATCTGATGATAATCAGAAAAACTGTTGAACTTCCACTATGTATTTATACAGTGGCTTTAACCTCATAAAATGTCCCAAGATGCTTCACAGGAGTATTAACAAATAAAATATGACACCAATCCACATAAGAAAATATTAGGGCAGATGCCTAAAGGTTCAGTCAGAGTAGAGGGAGATAAGTGAGCATTTTGAAGAAAAAATGAGAAGTGGAGAGTTTTAAGGGGAGAATTTCAGGGATTATGAGCTAGGCACAGACGCTAATGATGCAATATTAAAACTGAGGAAGTTTAAGATTCCAAAACTGGAGGAGCACAAGTATCTCAGACAGTTGTGGAACTAGAAGTGATCATAGAGACAGGGAGGGGTGAGGCCATTGAGGAACTTGAGATGAGGCAAAAGGAACAAGGTAAGTTTGTTTCAGATCTGCTAACTCAAACAAAGACCGAGAATCATAGCAGTTTGATACATAAGAACATAAGAACTGGGAGCAGGAGTAGGCCATCTGGCCCCTCGAGCCTGCCCCGCCATTTAATAAGATCATGGCTGATCTTTTTGAGACTCAGCTCCACTTACCCGCCCACTCACCGTAACCCTTAATTCCATTACTGTTCAAAACTTTATCTAGCCTTGCCTTAAAAACATTCTGTTTTTAAATTCCTTAAAATTTTTACAATTCATGCAATTTTACCCACTGAGCAATGGAGTTGCATTCATAAAATCATAGAATCCCTACAGTGTGGA